CTCGGGTTTAAGATAGCACAGGGCACACTGACTCCTTTCTCAGGATGTTTGGTCTCTCTGCCCAGCAAARCGYCTAAACTAAGCTGGRATATCARGCTTCAGGAATTACAAGCATGTGGGCTAAGGGGTACAGGCGGATACATGGGGGGGTACAGAAGCATAAAGGGAAAAGCAAAAATCATCAGGCATCAAAACCACTGCAAGAAGGCAAGAGGAATAATGGGATGGCTTTTCCTGTTGGGAGAATGGGGGGATTTACTGCAGGGGGTCTGGGAAGGGACTGAGGGTGCTYTGCTTGGGGTCTTTCCTTTCAGCCCTATTTTATAAGAGGTCTGGATTTTCCAGTTGTTTTTTTTTTGTTTGTTTGTTTGTTTGTTTTTTTTCCCACATCTCTTTGGGTTATTTGGGGACATTGCTTAATGGTGAACATGGTGGTGGTGCTGGGTTGATGGTTGGATTTGATGACCTTAGAGGGCTTTTTTCAGTCTAAACAATTCCATGACTCCATTCTTCTATCTGGCCTAAATAATTCTGTGATTCCATGATCCTGTCTGGTCTAAACAATTCTGTGATTCCATGATTCTATGTGGCATGTTCCCATGCAGAAATATTGCACTCTTCTTGGGCCAGGAGGTTCTCCAGGGGCTGCATCTCCATCCCACAGGAATTCTGTGTGCAGGGCTGCTTCCACAGACTGTAAAGGTCTCATGTCTTGGCAGGTCCAGCTCTGTTTCTGGAGGCAGCAGTGTCCCTGCCCCAGAGATTCCAGGTGCCAACGAGTCTGACCAACGCCAGGACAGGTACGAAGCCAGGGCACTGGGACATTCCCTTAGGCACCTCCAGCACTCCCTCCTGTCCTGCCTAAAGGCATCCAAATGCTCATTTTTGGCTTTGGGAATTCAGAAACCAGACTCTGGCAGTGCCACCTTTCAAACTTGTGCCACAAAGCTGCAGGGATCTCCCACAGCTCAGTATTGCATTGCAGTATTGCATTGCAGAATTGTTGCAGCTCAGTACCAGAAGGACCTGGAGCTGCTGGAGGGAGTCCAGAAAAGGCCATGGAGTTGCTCCAGGGCTGGAGCCCCTCTGGAGCCAGGCTGGGAGAGCTGGGGGTGCTCACCTGGAGAGGAGAAGGATCCAGGGAGAGCTCAGAGCCCCTGCCAGGGCCTAAAGGGGCTCCAGGAGAGCTGGAGAGGGACTGKGGACAAGGGATRGAGGGACAGGACACAGGGAATGGCTTCCCAGTGCCAGAGGGCAGGGATGGATGGGATATTGGGAAGGAATTGTTCCCTGGGAGGGTGGGCAGGCCCTGGCACAGGGTGCCCAGAGAAGCTGTGGCTGCCCCTGGATCYCTGGCAGTGTCCAAGGCCAGGCTGGACATTGGGGCTGGGAGCAGCCTGGGACAGTGGGAGGTGTCCCTGCTATGGCAGGAGTGGGATGGAATGAACTTGGAGGTCACTCCCAACCCAACCCAGTCTGGGATTCCACAATTCCATGATCCATGATTTTATTAACAACTTGGTGTCCCAGTTCTCCCAGTTCCCTGTTCTCTAGGAAGAGGCAGGATCCACCCTCAGCAGGCCCTGACTCCCGTGTGAGCTGCTCAGAGCAAGGACACACATTGGCTTGCTGGTCAAACTGGTTTTAATTCTTCTGCACATCTGACTTCAGCTCCCAGGAGAGTGTTCCCAGTGCCCATGAGTCCCAGCACCACACGTCCCTGTTCCAGGACCGCCAATCCTTTGGAGGGTCTGTGCCCAGCCACAGGATTCCAGCCTACGTGGACAGCCAGGTGTTCAGCACCAGGAGGTCAGGATTTGGGGATGAGGGTTTGGGAATGAAAGGTTTGGGGCTGAAGGGTTTGGCAATGACGGTTTGGAGATAAGAGTTTGGGGATGAGCAGTTTGGGCATGAAAGTCTTGGGGCTGCAGAGACAGGGAAAGCTGCCGGCATAGAAATATCTGATAGGAACTGCCCTCCACGTTGTACAATCCCTGAGAAAAGGAGTGAGAGCAGGATTTTGTTCCCACAGTGAGCAACAGGGTTAAATCCCAGAACCAAAGCTGTCCCAGAGTGGTGCACCTGGACCAAGTACGATGCAAGTCACTTTGGAGAAGGCATTTCTGCATCACCAGGAGCAGCTYCAGGCCTGGGGATTTCCACCATCCTCCTGGAGCCTTGGGATCCTCCTCAACCATTTCACAGAATCATGGAATGGTTTGGGTTGGAAGGGACTTTCTACCCCTGCCATGGCAGGGACACCTCCCACTGTCCCAGGCTGCTCCCAGCCCCAATGTCCAGCCTGGCCTTGGGCACTGCCAGGGATCCAGGGGCAGCCACAGCTTCTCTGGGCACCCTGTGCCAGGGCCTSCCCACCCTCCCAGGGAACAATTCCTTCCCAATATCCCATCCATTCCTGCCCTCACAYGATGTGTCACCCTCACTGCCACATCCCTGCAGTGAACAAACCCACCCCACCCCTGCCCTTGGGTTTACGCCACAGACCAAACTCCCCTCTGGCCAGAGCAGGCTTTTGTCATTAATTTTCCAATTTTTTTTAATTGTTCTCATTTGCTCATTAAGATGAGCTCAGCCTGTCTGTCTCTCGTGTCCACAGCAGGGTTGGCAGCACTGTGTGACACTGAGTTGCCTGAAGCTTTAATCAGGATCCAAATGTTCAGGGATGATAAAGTCCTGATCTGTGTCCCGGGGCTCCTGCAAGGAAACGACACCAGTGCCATTGCTCTGGTGGAAGAGCCTGAGCTGTGCCCACAGCTTAAAGCCATTCCCCTGAGGAGCTGTGCCTCGGAAAAGGGGAAATGGACAGCTCTGGCACCTGGGCACACGGAGGGGATGTTGGAAAAGGAAACAGCCGGAGATATAATTCCATGTGGGAATGGCTTGGTTTTGCTCAAGTGTTGGGTTTGGATCCTGCTCTCCCTGTGGAGCACAAAACCAGCATAGGGAAAATGTGCAGAGCACAGGAGGAATGCTTCATGGAATCATAGAATCATGAGGTCGTTGTGGCTGGAAAACACCTCTGTGATCATCAGCTGCCAATCCAGCACTGTCACTAAGGTCACCACCAATCCATGGCCTCAAATGTCGCACCCACGTTTTCTGGACACTTCCAGGGGTGGCAGCTGTGCCAGGGCTTGGCAGTGCCAGACCTRTGGGCCCAGTGTAGGGACTCCAGAGATTCCTGCTCCCAACGTGCTCAGGGCTTTTTGTCTCCTCACAGATCCAGCCCAGATCCCAAAGGGAGTGTCTATTCCGGGAACAGCAGCCCCAGGAGCAGCTGGTACGACAGTGCCCAGGGTCACGGGGAGTTCAGCCCCTCCTCAGCAGGACGGTGAGTCCGGGGCTGGGATCCCAACCTGCCACATTGATCCAGTACCCAGACATCCTGACCCACCTGTTGATTCCCTGGGTGTGAGCACGTGTTGGGTGTGCCATGGCTGTGCAGCGGGAGGGGTCAGTGCCCAGCAGGGAGATTCCAGCCAAGATTCCCACCCTGTGAGGATCCCTCACGTGCCCAAGTTCAGAGCTTGAGACTGTTGCACTTCCTCTCCCCAGCCACGACTCCTTTCCCAGAGATCCCATCATGTCCATGTCCCAGAGAAGCCACAGGGTGCCGTTCTACATGGACAGCTTAAACTATAACAGCACCAGGTAAATGGGCAGTCACGAGGGCTCTGAGGGAAACTTCCAGGAAATTCATGGAAGAGAAGCCAGGAAGAAAAGCCAAGAGCTGAGAGAAGGAGGAATGGTTTCTGGGGAGTGGATGCATAATCCAGAGGCACRAACCAACTCTGAAACCATTCCCAGCAAAAGCTGTCTAGCACAGGGTCTGGGATACATCCAGAAAAACCTCTGGAGATTTTTCACTGTGTGGGATGCCAGAACCCAGGGACAGGAGAATGGGGAGTTGGTTCCTGCTCAGGAATTGGCCTTCACTAAAAGAGAAAAGAGCTCAAGAGAGAGGGTCAGTGTCCCTAGCACGTCAATGGTTYAGTGACTGAGCCACACCCAGAACAAGGCTGTCGGAAGGGGCAGGAGGTATCCAGCATGGACTACCATTGTCCTGGGTTTGCTGCATCCCTCACGGCAGTGCCAGCCCATCCGYGTGTGTCTGATGCCCCATGGGGCCACCAGGAGCTGAGGGCTGGACCTGTAACAAGGAGTTGTGGGGGTCAAGGGAAGGCAGCACGAGATCTTTGGATAGCCTTGGATTGGCTCCAGGAAAAGTCAGCCCCATCCCAGGTCTCATTGCTGAGCAGATGGATGGAGCTGTTTTGCATTGTTTTGYTGTGTTCTCCCTTCAAATGACTAACTTAGGGACAGTTCCATTGGCTTTGTCCCCATCTCCCATCATCTCCTTGCCGTTCCTCCTGTCCTGTTTTCTCCCTGTGGCTGCTCCTATGCAGCCTGTGTGACTCACTCACTCTGTCCTCATTGGAGGATCTGGTGGGGTCTTCTCTCCCRTGGCCCTACAAATGAGAGTTTCTCAAATCCCTTCCTTGGGGAAGCATTCCTGTCCTGTGGCAGATGTAGAAGGAGAGAAGATTTGGTTTGATCCATGACACAGTCTGGAAAAGGGCTGTACTATCCACCTGCCCTCCCAGCAGTTGTGCCTGCTCTTCTCCTGGCTCCCAGCTTGGATCCTGSCATGGCCCACAGATCTCCCCTCTCTCCCCAGGCTCCTCTCCAGCTCCACTGAGAGGCTCTACAGCTCCCACCACAGCTCTGGGTACCAGCCTGACTCCAGCACTGCCGGGTAAAGATCCAAGGGGGGCCTCAATCCCCCACTGCAGAACAGGGGTGGCGCAGGGCCCTCTTGGTTGGTGAGGAATCCCAGCTTTGGCACCTGGCTTGTGTCAGCCACAGTGYGGCCAGCAGGGTCAGAGCAGTGATTGTCCTGCTGTGCTGGACACTGGGGAGGGCTCATGTGGAATCCGGAGGTCAGTTCTGGGCCCTTCAGGACAGGAGAGACATTGAGGGTCTGGAGCTTGTTCAGGGAAGGGAATGGAGCTGGGGAAGGGTCTGGAGCATCAGGAACAGCTAGAGGAGCTGGGAAAGGGGCTCAGCCTGGAGCAAAGGAGGCTCCGGGGGGACCTTGTGGCTCTGCACAACTCCCTGACAGGAGGGGRCAGCYGGGGGGGTCGGGCTCTGCTCCAGGGAACAGGGACAGGAGGAGAGGGAACGGCCTCAGKCTGGGCCAGGGGAGRSKCAGGGTGGTGGTGGAGTCACCATCCCTGGTAGTGCTCAGGAAATGTGTGGATGTGGCACTTGGGAACTAGTGGTGGCCATGGTGACGGTGCTAATTGATGGTTGGATTTGACGATCTTGAAGGTCTTTTTCAACCTTAATGATTCCATGATTCTATGACATAGAAAGAGTCCATGCTCAGTTTAAGGGAAAAAAGGAGCTTTTCTTTCCTTAGCCAAGACAGGGCTTAGTGTAAGAAGAGAGGATTAATCCCAGCTTTTAGGCAGCAGTGGAAATGCACCGTGGAGCAAGAGCCTGATTAATTCCTGTCAGGGCTGCAGGCAAAGGGCTGGGGCACAAGGCTCCCCTCCGCCTGCCTGGAGCTGCACCCAGGTGGGGCATGGAATGCTGGAATTGGAATTATAGAGGCAGGAAAATGCAAGAGAGGTAAAAACATCCCCAATCAAAGCAGCAGCAGTTGACACTGGCTGAGAACACTGGAGATATTCCAGCGGCAGAACAGTCCCTGGAAGCAGAGCGGTGCCACAGGGGTTGATGTTTATGGGGGAGCCGGGAGCTCTCTCCATGCTCATTGTGTGCATAATCCTGATGGGAGCTGGGAAGGATTTATCCTTCAAACCAGCGGATAACTGGATGAAAGGGYGACATTCTCCATCCCATTCTTTCCAATTAACTCGATTTGTTTTGGTGGGGTAATTAGAGGAGTTGTTATTTAGCAACAATGCTCGATATTCAGGTTTTATTCCAGAACAACGGGATCCCGCTCCGTGCCGCTCCCGCACGCGTTCCGTGTCGGGGGAGCACACAAGGTCCCTGCTCGGCTCTCCCGAGCTCCATCCGCTGCTTTCTCATGCAAATGCTTCCCGTTTCCCCAGGAAAGGGATCCTCTTTGTGAAGCAGTACGTGAACACCGGCGGCCTTGCAGCCTCCCCACGCTACGGCAGGTACGAGGAGCAGTGGGGACACCCTGTGTCACACCCAGCTGCCCCACCCGTGTGTCACACACGCGTGCAGGGCCCAGCACAAGGCTTTGCCACCTCACACATCCCACCAGGATGGARCAGTTGGAGCTGATCAGCCCCGGGGGGGGATTACTGGGAGGGCAGAGTTTTGCTCTGCAGGGGTCAGGCTGTCCCACTCCTGCTGTGGTAACAGCAGGACCTGTGTCCCACTGCTCCCAGGGGACAGGGAAGCTCCCCTTGGAGTGGCTCGGTCTCTGAGGTGGATGGAAACACCTCACTGCAGTTTTTAAGCTGTTTGGCATTGTAAGGCTTCACCAYGCCCCTGTAAACTAATGAGTGGAAGGGGTGAGGAGAATGTAGAGGGTGAGGGCTCTCACTGAAAAAATTTATGAGTTAAAAAAACTATTAAATTGCATCATTTTCAAGCTTAAATCCTCAGTCTTTTGTGTTCTGCTCTAGTGAAGCTGCTYCAGACTGGCCCCAGTGTGACAAGAGCGGGATTTGGCCCCATGCACATCATCCTCAGTGATGTGGCACCAGTTCAYACCAGTTTGATGCTCTCTGCTGGCATTCCTCCTCCCTCAGAGCTGTGCTGGCATCCCTAGGGGAGCTGATTACAGGCTGTAAATCTCCAGCCTGTCCTAGAGCTCAGCAAAGCTGCTGTCAGCAGCCACAGATAAGCCACATATCCAGGAAACCCAGGCACACTCCACTGGGTGAGACCAGGGATGTGCTCCGTGCCTTTTCCTGCAGAATAGCACAGGATTTGGGAGTTTTAGCAGTGAAAAGCTGCTACTTGTAGGGGTCAGATGTAAACAGGAGGGCCCTGGTGAGGTCAGGGGAGTTTTGCTGGTGCATGTTTTYGAGGCAGGAGTTCACAGGTTGCCTGTCCAGCTGCCAGCACAGGATTTTCCAGTCCCATCGAGCAGCAAGTGGAAAGTATATTGGAAAATATGTCTGGGTCACAGCCTGGGCATGACCTGACCCCAGAGCTGCTGGACACTCACTGTGGGCAGGCAGGGGAGCCCTTGGTGCCCTTCCTGCTCTGCTTCCCCAGCCCACCCAATCTCACCCTGTCTGACATTTTAGTGTGACAGCCTGACTCATGGAGGGCTCTGATGGCTACTGAGGGACAAGGAGTGGGAGCAGGGAGTTGGGAATGTGCTGGAGAAAGGACAGAGCAAGAGGGAGTACTGGCCATGTTTCTGAGCTGCATTTCCTGGACTCAGCCAGAACAGGCAGCCTGACCCCCCTGCTCCTCCTGGCACAGAGGGTGACAGGGTGGCACAGTCAGCAGGGCAGGGCTGSTGGCGGCTGTGCCACTTCCCTGGGCTCCAGGCTGGAGAGTCTATTCCAGGGTGCATGTCCCGCGTCCCTTTCCCGGCCCTGCTGCCCAGACCCCATCCCTCCCCATGGGGACAGACATGGGGTTCCACATAGCTGGGTCACAGCTCTTTGGTGGCTCTGCTTTGGTGGCCACTCCATGCAAACCTTCCCTGAGCCCTCAGCTGGCTCTGGCTGGAGCGCAGTGGCCATGGCATGGGATAGGGAGCAGATTCCCTCTGCAGAACCTGCAGTGGGGATACAGCAAAGAGGGAGATGCAGCTGCCGTCAGTCAGTGGAGCCCCGTCTGTCAGGGAATTGCCTTTTCAGGGCTGGGGAGGGGTCAGGCAGCCCCTGCTGTGAGTCCCACATGGGAGTCTGGAAATGCAGCTTAGGACAGAGCTGGGAAGAACCACCAGCCCGGCCTGAGAGAAAGGTGCTGCTTCCTCCTGTTCTCTCCTCCCTCAGTATGTTCCCAATGTCCCTGAGAGGAGGAAAGTCCTCTCTGGGACTAATTAAAGGGTCCTCTGTGTCCTGGGAAGGTACTTTTAGAACGTTCTCCCCAAGCAACAGGTAGCCAGGATATTCCAAATCATTGGGGTAATGATTCCATCCGAGACTCTCTTCCCACATATCAATGTCCAGTGCTGATATTTCCTTCCTTCCTTCCTTCCTTCCTTCCTTCCTTCCTTCCTTCCTTCCTTCCTTCCTTCCTTCCTTCCTTCCTTCCTTC